TGGCGTGAATTTTAAGCCACCGGGTCCGGGACTTGAACTGCAGTCGAGTACATGGGAGTCCAGCGACATAGCCATTACACTCACTGCTGGTCCCTATAAGACTTTTGACATGGTAGTTACCTCTCTGAAATATAAGCACAGAGAAAGTATAATATTATCTATTCTGTGTTAAGCACATCATTAAAAGTAATCCTGCTCTGGGGCCAGCAGGTGGCATGGTGGTTAAGGGCACTGGACTCCCACATGGTCAACTGAGGTTCGAGTCCCAGACCTGGTGGCTTGCTTTCTCACTTTCCCCTTCTCTCTTTCACACTCTGTCCCTCTCTGGAAATAATTATTTAAAAAAGTAATCCTGCTCCTTGGATCCTTCTTCTAATACTGTCTTCAGTACTTTTTCTCTTTTTTAGGAGAGGTTTTTGCTACAGGGCACGAGCACTTGCTTGAGAGACAGAGAGACAGAAAGCGAGAAATTACCCCCCAGAGGGGATGGCCACACTGCAGTCCCTTCTCCATTCTCCTCTCAGGATCTTGGGCATGCACACACTTGTGTCTGGTCTGAGTTTTAAGTCACCATGTCCAGGACTCAAATCATGATCTACATATGCCATCTGCTGCTCCCCTGTCTTCAGTCCTTAAAACTCAACTCTCCAAGAGAAACTATTTGCCCATTCCAGACCTTGATTTCCCAGCTATATGCGTTTAAAAGATGTCTCATACTGAGAGGCTCATACCTGCTGTACCTTCCCATGTTTCATTCATTCATTTCACAAGTGTTTATTGAGTCTGTATTCATCCATGGTTCTAGGCACTCTGTCATGTGGAAGTGAATAAGATAGTCCCTTGAAAATTATAAACTGGGGGTGAGGGATGGACAGTAAACAGATACCAATATGAAGTGCCAGGATTTTTTTTTTAAGAGAAATTTTTCCTACAGGGCATGTGCACTTGCTGGAGAGACAGAGACAGAAACAGAAAGTGAGAAATCACCTGGGGGAATGGCCACACCACAATCCCTTTTTCTCCATTCTCCTCTTGGGATTATGGGCACACACACACACACACACACACACACACACACACGGTATGAGTTTCACGCCGCCAGGTCTGGGGCTGAAACTGCAGTCAGTCATTTGTAAGTAACCATTACACCATCTGCTGGTCCCAACGTGCCAGGTTTTAATATGTGCAATGAAGCAAAATGAAGCAGTGCCGTGAGACAATGGTGACGTTAGGCTGAGGTGCTATTTTAAGACAATCATATGGAGATGTTTGAAGAGAGGAAAAGCTCTGCAGGTATCAGAGGAAGGCTAGCCAGGAAGAGGGAAGTCGAAGTGAAACATTCTGAGACAGGAGCACAGTCGGTGGATACAAGGATGAGGACCGGCACGGAGTCAGCATGTCTGGACAGAGTGAGCATTGTGGACAACAGTAGAGTGGAGGTGAGGGTGGTGACAGATCAAACCTTGGCAAGGAATGGTAAGAAACTGTTTTTATTTCAGGGGAGGTGGGAAACATGGACGGGTTTTTAGCAGAGGAGCAACCTGAGCTGAGAAGAATGGAAGGGTCCCTCCATCTGCTCTTGAAGCACAGTCAGGGTCAGGGCAATGGATAATTAATTGTAAAAGCACAGAACAAACCCTACACAACAGCTGTGATTTGGCAAGTGGGAGATCCTGGAAGCTTTCAGGAGGGCAGTTAAAATTGCAGTGGGAAGCGGCTAGAATCTAGGTAGACCGTGAGGTAGAGCTAAACAGATTTGATGATGGAACTGATACAGAGTAGAAAGACAGCACAGAAGCTGATCCAGCCCCTGCCCTAAACAACTGCAAGAACAGAGTTGCCATTTACTGAGGGGGGGGGGCATGTGGAAAGAGCAGGTTTGGGACATGTTTAGTTTGAGACGCCTACTGAACAACCAAGTGGGCATATCAGCCAGCCTGTGAGATGACAGGGTCTGGACTTCAGGAGAAAAGTCAGCTAAAGGTATATATTTGAGAGCTGTCTATATCTAGATTGTTTTCATCCCTAGACCTGGTTGGCACTGCCTAGGGAGTAAGTCTGGCAAGGGAAGGGAAGGTATCTGGATTGGAAGAGAACTTAGCTCTAGGGTGTTCTATGGGGAGCTGTAGCTAAGAAGAGAATGATTAAGGAAAGAGCCCAACGAGTGTCCAGTGTGGTAGGCATACCAAAGGAGAGCTCTGTTCTGAAAACCAAAAGATGTTTCTAAAAATTTTACACGACAAATCCAGTCCATCGGCAATCCTCTGGGCTCTATCTTCAACACATATCCAGAATGTGACCTCTTACCACCATTTCCAACTCTCTAATGTGATGCAAGTCACCACTGCTTCCTTTCAGACAAATGCAAAAGTCTTTAAGTGGTTTCTCTGCTCCCATCCTGGGAGCCTTTTACAGTCTATTCACCCACTAGGCAGTGATTGCTTTAAAATGTATGTCATATTACAACGATTAGCTTATGAATAGTGTTGATAAGTCCATAAAGAGACGACTGAGCATTGATCATGTGATTTGACAATGTCGAGTCATTCACTGGTAACCTGTGGGTAGAGCATTTCAGTTGGATGGGTGGGGATGAAAGCCTATTCTAGCAAAATCAGTGAATAATGTTAGCACTATAAACATTTGTATAGGTATTTATTATTAGTATTCGGGGAACTGCCAAGTATAACCACAAAAGAATATCGGTATACCTACCATGATTGGTAATTTTTTCTTTTAAGAGAGATTTTTGCTTTAGGGTGCGTGCGCTTGCCAGAGACAGACAGAGAGGGAGAAAGTGAGAAATCACTCCCGAGGGAGAATGGCCAAGCACTATTGAGAATGTACAGCAATAGAGATTCCCATACTGCTTCAGAAATGTACATTACCACACCATTTTGAGATGAATTTGTAATGTTTTCCTTAAAGTTTTCTCTATCTTGTGACTTAGCCCTCCTTCTAGATATATACCCTAGAAAGTCATGTACATTTGGGACTAGCAGATGGCATAGCACTTATGTTGCTGGACTCCTACATGGCTGACTGCGGTTTAAGTCCCAAACCCGGTGGCTTCAAATTCATGCCAGGCATGTGTGTGCATGTGCCAAAGATCCCAGGAGAAGAACAGAGGAGAAAGGATTGCAGCATGGCCATTCCCCCACACCCAATTTTTCACTTTCTGTCTCTCTGTTTCTTTCTGGTGAGCGCATGCACCCTATAGCAAAAATCAGAAAAAAAAAAAAAGAAGAAAGTAATGTACATTCGTATAAAGTTAGATGGACAATGTCTAGCAGCATAGTTTATAGTATTCCCTAAAAGTAAAGGATAACAGATGACAGAATGGATGCTGAATTGAGAGACTTCACAGAAAAGTACTTTCAAATGTGAAACATGTTAAATGTACAGCAATGAGAAAGAATGAACTATGGCTTCGCACAATAAAATAATCTGGAGAAAACTTACAAGAAGAATGGAATAAAAGAAACCATGTATGAAATTTTACTTTTAGGTATTACTGTGAGTCTAAAGTCAGTAAATGAAATTACCTACTATAAGTTGCCTATTTATAAGGGAAAAAATGTAAGGAAATGTGAAAAAAACTTATCACAAAAAACAGAATGGTAATTATCTCTGTATGTAGAAGGATTTATAATTACAAAGGAGTAGGCAGAAAGGTTACTTCTGGGGAGATCACTGTTGATTATGCAAACAAAATTACGGTTATGCACTAGTTTTCTACTTGTAATAATTCCCTACAATCTGCATCTATTTTAAAAGTAAACTTTTCAGTAAATGTAGTATTTCACAATTTTAAAAAATGTTCAAAGAGACAATGGGAAATGTAGAATGCAAGTATGTATACTTTTTCAAAGAGATTCATTATGAAATAGGCAAGATTTGGATGGTGACTGGAAAATTATGTAGACTGAAAGGAATGGTTTTACTAAGATAATACAGGACATAAGATGGTTACAATAGACAAACAGATATTTAAGAATGTAAACAAGAGAAATGAAAATCATAAAAATGGAGTCCATGAAAGAATGAAATAGAAGAAATGAAATAGACAATGGACAATTAATCCACTATAATAGGAGGAAACTTTAGATATAATATTATATAGATTCATTTAGGGCTATATATGGTAAGGCTCTTTTGATTGCTTTGGTTATTTTTTCCAGTAAAACATGAAGCAAGAATAAATTAGTGAAAAAACCAGAAAATTATGGCAAAAGGTAAACTTAGAGACCAAGAGTGTACCACTAGTCAGCCCTGGTCAGTATGTGGGTCTTTTAGAAGACATTTTGAGGCATCAGGGCAGGCACTAATCAAGTACAAAAGAATAACATACAACAAAGGAGACACTGCAGCACCCATGCCTGGAAGTCATTTACTCACTCAAAATCCATTCATGTTCATCTACTACTAATGGATAAGTGCTTTTCCAGGCCTGGGGTTATTAGGATGAATAATTAGAAATCATCACTGAAAACATGGACATCATATTCTAATACTTTTAAGATACCTCACCTTGAAAATAATCTTAGGATACCAGTACATTAGGGTATTCTTAAGGAGATTGTGGCCCTGAAGACACTAACCAATGTGGTCATGATAACTACACAATAGGAGGCTGCTCTGTTGGTGAGTCCCACAAATTCTTTTGGACGGTGTTATAAAAAGAACTTGAGAAACTGGATTTTGATGATGCTTTTACAAGTAGGACCACGATTCCTTGATCACGTGTAAACAGCTCATTGGGCTCCGTGCTGGGGCACAGGGCAGCCACCCCGCTTTCCGGATCTAACCGACTGCTCTATGAGATGCATACATAAATATCTGTCTCATTAAGTGGAAAAGATTAATCCAAGTTAAGATGTTCATGTGCTACAGAGCAAGAGGTTGGAAGAAGAAATGGCTAATAGTACACTGGCCAAAGGGAGCCCCCTGATCTGGAACATTTGGAGTTAGCCGAGTAACGGACGAAGGAATGGGGGAGGGTAGCCCTGTTGAGGTGTTCCGAGTAACCCTGTTGAAGCAGGCATGATGTTGTTTCCTCTTTCAAGGTACATTCCTCCATTTTAGTCTGCAGTACTTAAAAATAAAACCTTCCATCATGTCTTGAGTTTACTAAAGTGATGCTAGGGAAAACTGTCAGGACAAAAGACTGAAAAGAGAACGAGGCACAGGCTGCAACCCTAAAGGTACAGTAGCTTTTACTTATGCAGTGAGGATAGACCTCGAGTATTATCAGGGTCTGAGGGTCGGCGTGAGGGAGAGCTGCTGCTGACAGACACAGGCTGTGCATCAACTGATTCACTAGGACCATGTCGGTGGCAGCTTCAGCAAGGGACTCTGCCTCCCTCCTGTCTTCTTTACAGGAACTCTGCACAATTTTGCATGAAGCTACAAGAGTGCTTCAGATGTGGGTTCCCCAGATGAAAGGTTTCAGGCTGGGGATAGTATTAGGCCTTTCATGGATCAGGCTGTGGACCATGTTGTTCTTAGGGATGATTTTTCTCCCAAGAATATACTGTGACATGGACTTGTCATATTACTCTTCCTATGAAATAGTCATCCCCAAGAGTCTGACCACCAGGAGGAGTGAAGATCCAGTGGAACGTGCATCCTATATGCTATTTATGGGAGGCCAAAAGCAGCTGGTTCACCTGAAGGTGAAGAGAGAGTATGTTGTGAATAACTTTCCAGTCTACAGCTATCACGATGGGGTGCTGGGGCAAGAAACGCCTTTCATCTCACGAGACTGCCACTATGAAGGCTACATAGAAGGAGTGCCAGGTTCCTTTGTGTCTGTCAACACCTGTTCAGGCCTCAGGGGCATCCTGATTAAAGAGGAACACGCCTATGGCATCGAGCCCCTGAACTCCTCAAAACAGTTTGAACATGTGTTATACACCACGGCACAGCAAGCTCGAGCGTCCTGTAGTGTCACTTCCAAAGGCAGCCGAGCAGCCTCGACCAGCCGGCAACAGGGGAGCAGGAAACCCCACAATCTACAGGCACCGTCCTACTTGTGGTCACACACAAAGTATGTGGAGATGTTTGTTGTGGTCAACAACCAGCGGTTCCAGATGTGGGGCAGCAGCGTCAACGAGACAGTCCAGGGAGTAGTGGACATCGTTGCTCTGGCCAACAGCTTCACTAGGGCGATAAACACACAGGTGGTGCTGGCTGGAGTGGAGATATGGACTGAAGGGGACCTAATAGAGGTCCCAGAGGACTTGCACGCTACACTCAGGAATTTCAATAGCTGGAGACAAGAGCAGCTCTCCCAACGTGTGAAGCATGATGTTGCCCACATGATCGTTGGGCATCATCCTGGAGAGACCATGGGCCAGGCATTTCTCAATGGTGCCTGTTCAAGTGGCTTTGCGGCTGCTGTCGAAGCCTTCCATCATGAAGATGTCCTCCTGTCTGCAGCGCTCTTGGTTCACGAACTCGGGCACAACCTGGGTATTCCGCACGACCAGTCGGCCTGCATTTGTGACGATAAGCACTTTTGCCTCATGCATGAAAGCATTGCTAAAGAAAGTGGCTTCAGCAACTGCAGCTCTGACTACTTCTACCAGTTCCTTCGTGAACACAGAGGGGCCTGCCTGTTTAACAAGCCATGGCACAAAGGCCGCAAGCGTAGGGATTCCAACTGTGGGAACGGTATTGTGGAGTTGCCAGAGCAGTGTGACTGTGGTAATAACTGTGACCAAAACCCATGCTGTGACAGTTCCTGTCATTTTATAGGAAAAGCACAATGTTCTGATGGATTGTGCTGTTTTCAATGTGAATTTTCACGTAAGGGCTCCATGTGTCGTGATGTTGCTACGCCATGTGACCTCCCGGAATTCTGTGATGGGGAATCTTCAGCATGCCCTGCAGATAGCTATAAGCAGGATGACACAGTATGTCACAACAATCACTACTGTGCTAAGGGTTTTTGTTTAGACCCTAGTAGTCAATGCTCACACTTGTTTGGGGCTGGTGCAGTATCTGCCCCACAAGAATGTTATACTTCATTTAACAAAAAAGGAAACCGGTTTGGTAATTGTGGCCAAAATGCAGACAAGTCACAATATGTTCCATGTTCTGATGATGATATATTGTGTGGAAAACTTATATGTACATCTCTTAAACACGTGCCAACAGTTAAAAAGACATATTCAGCAATCCAGGTCCCTCATGGAGGGGACTGGTGCTGGAGCATGGATGCCTATGATAATACTGACATCTCTGATGAGGGAGATGTGCTGTCTGGTACTTACTGTGGCCCAGACAAAGTCTGTGTGAATTCTACCTGTACTATTAAGACCAAAGACGCTCGACCAGTCGGCCTGCATTTGTGACGATAAGCACTTTTGCCTCATGCATGAAAGCATTGCTAAAGAAAGTGGCTTCAGCAACTGCAGCTCTGACTACTTCTACCAGTTCCTTCGTGAACACAGAGGGGCCTGCCTGTTTAACAAGCCATGGCACAAAGGCCGCAAGCGTAGGGATTCCCATTGTGGAAACGGTATTGTGGAGCCGCCGGAGGAGTGTGACTGCGGTTCTGCTTGTGACTACGACCCATGTTGTGACACAGTATGTCAACTGAGGGAGCACGCGGTGTGTGGTAAAGGTGGCTGCTGCCATGACTGTGGTTTCAGAAGGAAAGGTTTCTTATGCCGTCCCATTCAGGATGAATGCGACCTCCCAGAATACTGTGATGGTACCACTGCCGAATGCCCCAAAGACAGCTACAAGCAAGATGGCACATTATGTGACAGAATTTACTATTGCTCTGGGGGTCAGTGTAAGAACCCTGATAAGCAGTGTATGCGTATATATGGGTACCCTGCAAGATCTGCCCCAGAAGACTGTTACACTTCGATAAACACCAAAGGGAACCGGTTTGGAAACTGTGGCCGTGCCTCTGAGGGTCCCCCAGGATATGTTAAGTGTTTAAACAATAATGTATTTTGTGGGAAACTTGTATGTACAGATGTTAGATACTTACCACCAGTCCTCCCCCAGTATACAATGATCCAGGTACCTCATGGGGAGGACTGGTGCTGGAGCATGGATGCCCATAATGGTACTGATATCCCCGATGGTGGAGATGTGCAGGCCGGCACTTACTGTGCCCCAAACAAGGTCTGCATGGATCACTTCTGCACTCATCACTCAGTGCTCAACTATGACTGCCAGCCAGAGGCAATGTGCCATGGCAAGGGAGTTTGCAACAATTTAAGACACTGCCATTGTGAGTTTGGCTTTGCCCCTCCTGACTGCAAAGATCCGGGAAATGGGGGTAGTGTGGATAGTGGTCCTGCTGGCAAGTCTGGTGATGAAATTTCTAGTGAAGATGAAAGGAGAATTCAAAGTATAGGTCAAGGTAATAACCCCAGATTTTATGAGAGCAACAATGAAACCAAAAACCTTGGCAAGATAGCATACATATTTCCTTTATTTCTTTTAGCATTATTTTTAGGTTTAATTATTGTTGCCACTCTTGGGGCTGGAAAGGACATCTCACAGTGCTCACAGGATGACACTGAAGAAGTCTTTCAAAAGGTTGTACCAGAACAGGATGTAGCAAAAGATCAGGAAAAGCCTAAAGCAGAAAATGAGTAGTGTACGGAAGCAGTCCAATATGCTAAAACCTGGTGCACTGGGAGGAGGCTGAGTATAACAAAGGTGAAGTGAGCACTGATGTGGACCATGACTCTGTAGCCTGAAGAAATATGCTAATATAGAAGGGGAGGTTTTATTCTTCTTTAATTATTGATTATATATAAATTTAAAATCATATATAAGAGACTGTTTCAACACTTTTTTCCATTTTCACATTTCATTAAATAATTTTAATTAAACACTTTTTACAAATCACTTATTTATGGGGGCCATCAGGTGGCATGGTGGTTAAAGGTGCTGGACTCCCACATGGCCAACCATAGTTCAAGTTCCAGATCTGGTGGCTTCCTTTCTCACTTTCCCTCTCTTTCTGGTCAAATTGGAAAATAATAATAAATAAAGTTAAAATAAAATAATTCTTTAAAAATAAATAAGTCATTCATTCCTGACTTGTTACACTAGAGTCAATTTTTTAAAAAATTATTAATTTTATTTATCACCATCATTATTTTATAATTTGCCACAGGGCACATACATTCAGCAGAGAGACAGAATGAGAGGGGGGAGAAAGATAAAGAGAGAGAGAGAGAGAGCAACTGAGAAAGCAAGCCATCAAGTCTGGGACTTGAACCATAGTCAGTCATGTGGGAGTGCAATGCCATAACCACCATGTTACCTGCCAGCCCCTAGAACCAATTTTTAAATTGCTTGTTTTTAGGTAATGCCATCTGCTGTCTAGTTTATCTGATATACAGTACTATCTATACATGCATATTTTGCTGTCTTAGGAATTTTTCTTTTTTGTTTTTTAGAGAAAGATTTTTGCTATAGGGCACATGTGTTCATTGGAGACACAGAGATAGAAAGCACAAAATCATTCCCTGGGGAAAATGGCCACTCTATAATCCCATGTCCTCCATTCTCCTCTTAAGATTTTGGGTATTCATGCACACAATCCCAACATTTTTTAAAAATTATTTTATTTAGCTTTATTTATTTACTTACTTATTTTACTTATTTATTTATTTAAAAAAGTATTATTTATTCATTCATTTTTTAAAAACAATTTGACCAGAGAGAGAGAGAGGGAGGGAGGAGAAAGCAAGCCATCAGGTCTAGGACTTGAACCATGGTCAGTCATGTGGGAATGTGCAGCGCCTTAACTACCATGGCACCTACTGGTCCCTTATTTACTTATTTTAATTTTTACGAGAGGAACAGAAAGAGAAAGAGAGAAGGAAGGGGAGAAAGCAAGTTGCCAGGTCTGGGACTCCAGCACCCTTAACCTGCCGGCCCTGAACTCCAGCATGAATTTTAAGTCACCGAGTTTGGGACTTGAACAGCTGGGCATGCTGAGGGTGACGATAATAAAAGCTAATAAGCATCACATATTTAGAGTATCAATAACAGGGCCAGGCTTGTAGCCCTAGTGTTAAGGGAGTGGATATCACATAGCTGACCGTGGTTTGAATCCTGGCCCTGGCAGCTTGAAAAACACACTAGGGATATATGTGTGCACGGCCAAAATTCCAATAGGAGGAGAAATGAAGGAAAGGGATTGCAGTGTGATCACACCCCATTGGGGTTTGCTTTCTCTCTCTTTCTATTTCTCTGTCTCTATTGGCTAGCCCATGCACCTCTGACAATTAATAAGAAAGAAAGAAAGAAAGAAAGAAAGAAAGAAAGAAAGAAAGAAAGAAAGAAAGGATGGATGGATGGATAAGGGAATCATGGTTTATGAATGGAGTAATTGTTCTTAGCTGATTTAATAGAATCCTTTAAAGACTGAAGTCATGCAGATAACTAGGTATCAATCAATAAAGTTTATTTGGGGGTTTCACTGTATTTACAAAAAAGTCATAAAATTTAGCAAATAAGAGGTTACTATATAGATTTTCTTTATTTCTTTTGGGATTTTGGGCACACATACAAATACGATGGTGTATTTTTCAAGCCACTGGATCTGGGACTCGAACTGCGTAGTCAACCATGTGGAATTCATGAATGTTAAACATTAGGCCATGGGCTAGCCCTGTGTAGACTTAATTTTTGGTTGCTTATGATTGATTTGACCTTTGGAGTAATAAGACCAGGTTTAAGTTAAGAAACAATTACTAGTGACAATAGTGAAAGTGGTCACTCATGACAAATACAGCTGCTGCCTCAGCAGACTCTGATGGTGACTCCTTGCCTTCCTTTACCTGTTTTCTCTCAGTGACTTTTCTCTTCTCTCTGCTGTTTTAGGCCAGTGGAGACCCAGGCCCTGTCCTGAGTACACAAAGAACAGTCAGGTTCAGGTTCTAGACTTTTACCCAGACTTGGAGGATCAAACGGAGATTACAATATGGGAACAAAAACATCTGGATGCTGCAGATACTAATGCTCCTGCAATCTAGGGGTAGTATCACTTTCACATGGGACTTGGATAGGCAATCTGTCTCCTCAGACCAACCTGACATCTTTTCTTATCTTAGTGGAATGCTTAAGGAATGTTTTGCTCACATGGAGTCAAACTGTAGTCCCTTCTCTATGTCTGAGGTGAGAAAAATAAAAGATTTACTGCAAGTCCAGATGGCATTATCATAGCCTCACAGGATGCAATTGTGCACACAATGAAGATAAAGTTTTACATTAGCATGCAAAAATAAACTAATTTTTTTGCTACAGAGTGCATGAGTTCATCAGAGAGAGACTATGAGGGAGAAAGTGAGAAAGCAATGTCCTTCTACTCTTGGGATTCTGGACACACACACACACACACACACACACACACACACCCAACTGGTGTGTTTTTCAAGTCACTGGGTCCAGGATGTGAACAGTGTGGGATCTATTGACTTAACCACTCTACCAGCAGCTGGCCCTAAATTAGCTTATGTTTACAAAAGTAATTCCAGAGAACAAGATTCCTCATGGCTCCTGATAGATCTAAGGGCACTGTAGCTAAACATCGAAATACTATTAGGGTGACATATTCCTCAATATCTACTGAATCTGCCGCACCTGTGGTCACAACAGAACGGCAAAGAGATTCCCATTCACTTCTTTCTTACTCCTGAACACTCTGATTGAACTTCAAGAATTCGAAAGAAACACACCATCCATCAGATGACAAGAAATCACTGCAGGACCACAAGAACTATGGGAAAGCAAGAAAATACCTCTCCTCCAAGACAAAAGAATAACTCCTCTTTATCCACAAGCAGTTAAATGCAAATCATGGAAATGTCTGATAAAGAATTTAGAACATTCATAATGGCGAAGCTAACTGAGATGGAAGAGAAGAGAAACAATGAACTGCTAAAGAAAAAGGAGAAAGAAGTTGACAAGTTCCAGGAGGTGAGGAAATTCTTGCTAGATCTAAAAGAGGAATTACATGCTGTACAAAAGAGTCAAACGGAACTGTTAGAAATGAAGTCTATAATACAAGAAGTCAAAATCTCCCTTGAAAGTATTAAAAGCAGACTAGATCAT